ATGCTATTTAGGCAAAGTATGAAATAAACGTCCTGATGAGGTTATTATGTAAATGATGTGCATGTTACTGTGAAAGACCGAAATCGGTGGTTGTTGACTTTCACCGCTGAATGTTGACAATCACATAGTCGCTTTGGTGAATGTCCGAAATATTTATTAAATCCGGTTTGAAATTCATTTATTCGTCGATATAATTACATTTATTCGATATTTAAATACTTACTGACGATAGATTAGAAGAAATATCAGTGTTTGGATTATCGGACAAATGTGTACCGGGCAATGACACTTGAACTTTAAAAAGCACCAGTGCAGGGTATACCGGACAAATGTATACCGGGCAATGGCACTTGACCTTAAAAAAATATCAGTGTAGGTTATACCAGGCAAATGTATACCGGGCAATGGCACTTAACTATAACTAGTATGACTAGACCTTTGCTAAATGTCCGAAATATATACTAGGTCTAGTGCCACTGCCCGGTATACCGTACACTGATGTTTTTTAAGGTCAAGTGCCACTGTCCAGTATACATTTGCCCGGTATATCCTACACTAATCTTTTTTTAAGGTCAAGTTCCATTGCTCGTTTTACATTTGCCCGGTATACACTACACTGATGCTCTTTAAGGTCACGTGCCATTGTCCAGTATACATTTGCCCGGTATACCCTATATTAATGTTTTTTAAGGTCAAGTTCCATTGCTCGTTATACATTTGCCCGGTATACCCATCACTGATGTTTTATTAAGGTCAAGTGCCATTGCCCGGTATACATTTGCCGCCCGATACTCCAAACACTGATATTTCTTCTAAAGTATCGTCAGTAAGTATTAAAATATCGAATAAATGTATTCTATCGTCAGTAAGTGTTAAAATATCGAATAAATGTAATTATATCCACGAATAAATTAATATAAAATCGGATGACGTTTTGAATTTGTCATTTTTAATGACATTTTGACGAATCGGAGATGTATTTTATACTTTTCCGGTTTCTCATTTGGCATTCTATAGAATGCCTAGACAATGTGGGAAAGATAAATCATTTCATACTTTGCCGGCAAATTTTAGGCAATCTATACAATGCAGGATTTCATACTTTGCCTATATAGTTAACAAATCAAAAATAATGAAGATAGATTTTTACGGTTTCCTTCTGTTTATCATCATGGCACTTATTTGTTATTGAGTAATGCTTGACATTTTAGCATATATTTTTTTTTTTAAAAATTCGTTACTATTTCTACACTGAAAAGTTACTGCTATTACTGTTATAAAAATGAGTCATAATTAAATTTTTCGAAAAAAGTTTCTCTGTACCTATTTATTTCCATAGTTAAACAAATTTGAGTGTTTTTGAGAATAATTTGTAGACATGAAATCACAAAAAAGAGTATTCCGTTAAAATTATTGTATTGTGAAGTAATGACATTCCCAATGAAAAAAATGTTATACAAAAAGGTAAGGTAATGAAAAAAACGTAATTCTGCCTAATACTACCAAACATACAACAAAACATACGAAATTTAAGTAATATATTCTTGCAATTTTCATTTTGAATGCTAAAAATATTCCAGAAATACTTATTTAAAAAATTTCGTTCTTATTTCAAAGAGTAAAAGTTGTCATTGAGTGCAGATAAAAATAATAATTTTAGTAAAAAAAATCCTAGAAATTCTCGACACGAAAATACATTGCAGTTTTATTCCTTTCCTTAGGCTTTTTCCTGATCATTTGATGTTTTCTTTCCTTTTCTACTAAAACATAAAATTAAATCTTAGTAACGATCAATTACCAAAAAGATTTTTTTTTATTTGCAACTAAGCAATTACGATAGTTATAATAATAACAGCAACAACAACGCCGTCACATAACCCCGAAACTATAATAATTATAGCAGTAATAATTATCAGTAATAATTATGACACCAGCTTTAATAAAAATTGAAAATTTGAGGCTTATTAAATAAAATATGTACGATTCATAATAAAAAATTATGATAAAATAAATGAGTATGTATTTTAATCAAATTAAAACTCAGGACAATTTAAAACTCAGGACTTCAGGACAGTTTAAAACTCAGCGATTCCAAGTAATGAAAAATATAAAATTATTTAAATTCCATTGAGTTTAGGTATTGTAAAAGAAGTGTATAATCATTTCGTTATGTCGATGAAGGAGAATAATATATTTCGAGTGTCCTTATATCTATATTTAATAAATTATTATTCTATATTAATTAGAAAGCACTGTTTAAAAAATATTGCTTACCGAGTATTTATTATAATATTGCTTGTATTATAAGAAAATCAATCGCATATAAATTACTCTTACGAACTTTAAAATATCTTTTTCAATTCATCTCTTAAAGAAATTTATCAAAATAAAGTTACAAAACTAGATCTAAACAATTAATAGATCTACTTAAATCGATGTATTATTTTCCGGAATAAATTATTTTGAATTCTATAGTATTTATTTTCTGACATGATAGTCGATACCTCGTGTAGCTTCTAGAGTTGAACTTTAACACTAATATGATTTTTAAAGTTGCACCTTATATGGAAGAAATTTATCAAAATAATGTTAAAAAACTAGATCTAAACAATTAATAGATCTACTTAAATCGATGTATTATTTTCCGGAATAAATTATTTTGAATACTGTAGCTTTTATTTCTTGGCATGAAAGTTGATACCTAGCGTAGTTTCTAGAGTTGAACTTTAACACTAATATGAGTTTTCAAATTGCACCTTATATGGCAATATAAAATGCATGTTATTTGATTTCTTTTCATAAAAGAAATGAAAATCATTTTATCTTTGTAGCGAAAATTTTATTGAGATTTCATTTGAATTCGAAAATGTTTTAGAGTTGGAAAATATATATAAAGCACGTCCATAAATAGCATAAACTGCGAATGCTTAATATCCTAAATTACATAAGAATCTAGAAACAAACATTTAATCTCGTTCAATCTTTCGAATTTCCATTTCTTCTAAGAAAAAGTATTAGTAAAATTTTCCGTCTAGAATTTATACGACATTTATTAAAATGACATCGCTCAAAACTTTCTTTAATTAAACAAGCTGCATTTTTAATTTGAGTTAGCAGTGATGCGGAGACCAATTTATGCAATATTTTCAGAATTCTACTCGTGATTATTTTTAATTTTACTCTCTGTTCTCTTTATATTTTATTTTAAAATATTTACTCCAGAGTTTTTCAAATAAAAAATTAAAACATTTATTTAATTTCTGATTTGATAATTTTTTCTTATAAAAAATGATACTTACAGTATTTAAAATGGAAACTTTGAAGCTTAAATAATTTTTTTTATCAAAATATATAGAAAATCTTAACCAGTTTATGCATTACTTTTACTTAATTTAGATTTTCTTTTCGAACTTCAAAATGTATTAGAAATATTGTTTATAATTTAAAAGTTTTGCTAGTTACTTTATTTCATTGCTGTACGCAATTTTTTTTTTTTAAATTTGCCGCATTTTCAAATAAATATTTTTTTCATAGTTTGAAAAACTTTGAACGATAAGTCTGTATGTCTAGCTAGCACTTCCCCAAAATGCTGTTTTAGTAGTAGTTGTAGTTCATTTACGTCGCACTAGAGCTGCACAATGGGCTATTGGCGACGGTCTGGGAAACATCCCTGAGGATGATCCGAAGACACGCCATCACAATTTCGATCCTCTGCGGAGGGGATGGTACCCCCGCTTCAGTAGCCCCGCTTCACGACCTGCACGCGAAGTCGAGCACTTTACGGTAGAACAGTTTAACGAGGCCCAATAACGCACACCCTCGATCCCTACGCAGACTGATCCAAGTAGTCACCCACCCGCACACTGACCGCAACCCAATGATTCCTGACTTCGGTGATCTGCTGGGAACCGTGTCTTAACGATCTGTCCACTGCGATTTCCCCAAAATGAATTTAAAACAAAATCAAGTTCAAATTAATTTTAATACTTATTTAATATTAATAAATATTAATATTATTTAATTTAATATTATTTAATATTATTCATACTTATTTAAACTTGATGAACACTAGATTTACTGAATTATTTAGTTTCAAAGTTATATAAACTTAGTTATATAAACTTAGTTATATAAACATAAGAATATTCAGATTTTATAAATTTATGCCACAAACAATTTTAGACAGTTTACTCGCTATCTTTGTAAGGCCTTAATTTTTATCCATTATTTCCTTTACACTTCCAAAGAGAGAATTAATCTCGCATTCGCGTATTTTTTTGTATGGGGAAACGGTAATGAGATTTTACGTGTTTATTTACTTAACTTTGTTTACCTGACACACAAGATAATTTTTTCTTACGTAAAGCATAAATCACATTATAGTAACGGTAGAATAATTTCGTATTTTATCATTTTTATCATTTTATCCTTTCTCTCTCGAGTATGCGTCTAGACTAAAGAAGTTTCTATGCATTATTTTCATATTCAGTGTAACAGTAAAATATGCGGTTGGGAATAGAATCGTAGAAGGAATATGTATTGATTATTTACCGTAGGAAGACTGTTGTGCCTGTGATAGAGTATTTACTGCTTGATTTTTACAGTTATAAAATATTCTTTTAACTGCATATATATTTAAAATGTATGAATTTTCAAAGACAATTATATTTCAGCATAAATATACAAATATTTCCATTTGCTGAGGGGTAGTAAATGAAATATATAGAAAAGTATAAGCATTGATTTTTAAATAAAAGTAAAAATTTTCTGTAAATAAAAATACGTATTCTTTTTTTTTACCTATAGCGGCTTGACCAATGTTGTATAACAATACTTCCTATCTGAATTTTAA